GGGGGGTGCTGGTAAACCCTACCTATAGTCTCCATTGTAGTTCCTTTTTGGGGCTACCTTATAAACTCCTCAATATAGAAATGGTTAAACCAAAAAAAGGAACTGCAATGGAGACTACAGGTTGTTTAAAGGGCAAGAATGTAGGGGCCTTAATAGTTAGAATAGGGTTTTGGGGCTTCCTTATTATAATTATAGTATAATATACCCCCAAGCCATATTCTGATTATTAAGGCCCCTATATTACCTCATTTAAGCCTTTGGGCTTCCTGCCTGAAGAAAAATTCCAGATCACCACTATACTCGGGGTCTATATATAATATCCCTTTTGAACCCGGACTTGCTGAATGCCAGCAAACGGAAGGCGAGATGAGACAACTCGATTAGGAGACGACTGTAGATGCGGACTCCAGGGGTGTCAGCCGTTTTGGGGACCTCCTTGCTTCACGTTATATAAACCCTAAACCCTAAAACCCTAAACCCGGGGTCTATATAATATCTGAAACTCCCCCACCTCGCTCAAAGGCTGCCGTGACCTCGGCCGTGGCGTAGTGGTGCTTTCGGAGGTGTCTCTTCACGAGGCCCTTCCTCGGAGCTCTTTTGTTCAAGGAATCTTTAGGGTCTAGGGTTTAGGGTCTAGGGTTTATTGAGCTGTTAAGGAATCTTTAGGGTTTAGGGATAACGCTCTCACAACTCGGTTTAGGGTTTGGGGTTTAGGGCTAATTGAGGCTACCGCAATAGGGAAACCCTACTATTCACCATATGGACCCCTTTTATGGCAATGATGGTAACTGAAGAATCCTAACTCCTTAGCAAGAACCCAGCTTCGGCTCGGCTCCCTTCTGAGGCATCTGGTAGTAGGTGGGGTTCGCGGCCAAGGGAGCCGCCCGAGGCAGACTGGTGCTGCCCATCAGCTGCGCGTCCACGCGGGCGGCGCAGTCGCGACCCTCTGCGATGGCGGTGACGACGAGGGATGCACCACGGCGGCAGTCACCACAAACATACCTCAAACGATAAAAAGCCTACAAGTCTATATTGTAAGGTCTACAAAAATAAGAACCTACAAGAAAAAGTAGGTCCAGAACCTACTATTATTATTAGTATTTTTTGTTATTACTGCTATTGTTATTAATAATATTATTTTGCTATTATTGTTATTTAAGTCCAAGGGTAGCTCAAGATACAAATTGCTCCAAGGGGAGGCCTCGGCCTGGTACTCGCCGTACTGGGCCTTAAAGTTCGAGTGGGAATCCGGGGGTACAGTGGGGCTTGTGTTAGGGTTTAGGGTTTAGGGTTTAGGGTTTAGGGTCTAGGGTTTAGGGTTTAGGGTTTAGGGTTTAGCCGTACTGGGCCTTAAAGTTCGAGTGGGAATCCCGGGAGAGCTGGTTCAGCGGATCGATGGCAGTGTCCTGGGCTTTGAAGCAACCAGGGAGAAAACAGAATAGACTCTTATTTTTAGAATGGTTCCTTTAAGGAACAGGTCCCAAAAAAAAGTATTAAAGTATGGTACTCATGGTACTCCAAAGCCGAGTGTCTGGGCCGGTGAAGCCCATGGCCAACACGACGAGCTCGGCCGGGTAGTTGACGGTGCCCGTCTCCTTGCCCGATGGGTTCAGCTTGGCTGCCACCACCGCGCCCACGGCGCTGGGATCCTGCGCAGAGGCGCGGAAGCTTTTGGTCTGCACCATGTACTCCCGTGGGTCACGGCCCAAAGTAGACTCGCCCTCGGAGTGGGCGTAGTCGACGCGGTAGGTGTCCGCCCAGCACGGCCATGGAGTGTGCTTTGGCCGGTCCTTGGGCGCAGCGTCGCGCCGGGAGAACTGAATGACGCTCTTCGCGCCTAGTCGGATGGCAGTGGCCACGCAGTCAACGGCTGTGTCGCCACCACCGATCACCACCACACGCTTGCCTTGCACATCGTACGTCGTGGTACTGGTATTCTTGAGGCCCATCTCGCTGTCCAAGTTCTTCTTCTGTGTGTCTGTCAGGAAGTCCATTGCCTGAACAACGTTCTTCAGGTTACGGCCGTCCGCATTGCGCATGTCACGCCACATCGTCGCTCCGGTGGCCATGATGACCGCGTCGTTCTGGCTGCAAAGGCCGTTCAAGGTCACGTCCTTGCCCACCTCCGTGTTGCACTTGAAGCTGATGCCCTCCTGCTGCATGAGCTTGATGCGGCGCAAAACCTTGTCGATCTTGTCCAACTTCATGGAGGGGATGCCGTACATCAGCAAACCTCCGGGACGGTCAGCCCGCTCGATAACCTCCACGAGATGCCCCGCACGGTTCAGCTGCTGCGCCGCAGCGAGGCCAGCCGGGCCCGAGCCGATGATGGCGATGCGGCGGCCGGTGCGCTGGAGGGGCGGCTGGGGCTTCACCCAACCCTTGCTGAAGCCATACTCGATGATCGAGAGCTCGGTGGTCTTAATCGCGACCGGCTTTTCGTTGATGCCCAGAACGCAGGCTTCCTCGCAAGGCGCCGGGCAAGTGGTGCCTGTGAACTCGGGGAAGTTGTTGGTATCAAGCAATCGCTCAAGGGCGCGCTTCCACTCGCCCTCATGTACCAGCTGATTCCAAGTGGGGATGCGATTGCCCAGCGGACAGCCACCTCCACCTTGGTTGGGGCTGTGGCATGTGGGAGTTCCACAGTCCATGCACCGAGCCGTCTGCGTCTGCATCCAATTGTGCCACTGTTGGCTCTTCTTGGACTGCGAAGCATAGATCTCCTCCCAGTCAAGGATACGATCCTTATGGTCACGGTAAGGGAGGGCCTTACGCTCGTACTCGTGGAAGCCACGCTTCTTCTCCGGGCTGGCGACGGAGATCGGCTTGCCCGCCGCATCCTCGAGATCGGTGCCAGGCGCTGGGGGCACGCTCGCAGCAGGCTTTACCGGTGCCTCTGACTTCGACTTCTCTTTCGCTGCCACCAGAGCCTTCTTGTACTCCTTCGGGAAGATCTTCGTGAAGCGCTTCAGGGAGTCGGCCCACTTGGCCAAAAGATCTGATGCCACTTTGCTTCCGGTGTACTTCTGGTGCTCGGCGATGAGATCCTTCAACAGCGTCTTGTCCTCCTCTTCGACGATTGCCTCGAGGTGGACGCTCGCCTTGTTGCACAAGGCCTCCTGCATGTCCAGGATATATGCGATGCCTCCGCTCATGCCTGCCGCAAAGTTGGACCCCATCTGTCCGAGCACTATCACCGTACCTCGGGTCATGTACCTGGGTTCTTGTTACTTTTACTTAATACGGATCCCTGTTATGGCAACCGAAATTGAATTCCCTTAACAAGAACCCAGGTACTCGCATCCATGGTCGCCGACCCCTTCACAAACGGCGGTGGCGCCGGAGTTGCGCACAGCAAAACGCTCGGCGGCGATCCCGGCGAAGAAGGCCTTGCCAGCCGTGCCTCCATAAAGTGCTGCATTGCCCGCGATGATAGCATCGTGCGAGGCATACGGGGCCTGGTTTGGTTTGTACACCACCAGGGTTCCGCCACTGAGGCCCTTGCCGATGTAGTCGTTCGCGTCGCCTTCGAGCTCGAAAGTGATACCGGGAGCCAGGAAGTTGCCGAAGGACTGTCCGGAGCTACCGATGAAGGACACGCGAATGGTTCCCTCGGGGAGGCCGGCAGCTCCGTATTTCTTACTGACCTCGAAACTGAGGATGCCTCCAACGGAGCGGTCCACGTTGTTGATGTTGATGCCCTTCAGGCTTATATGCTCTTTACAACCCTTCGCAACAGGCTTTCCACTTTGCACGGCTCTGTAAAACCTGAATCCGAAACCCTAAACCTAAAACCGTATATGGCAGTTTCCGAAAATAGGGGACCCTAATATAGTACCCTAAATAGTAGGATCCTTATTATAAAGACCCCCAAATAAGGTACCCCTTCTTTTCGGAAACTCCCCTATAGACCCCAAAAGCCCTCCCCCGAGCCTTGAGGTGGACCTGACCCTAAACCCTAAACCCCAAACCCCAAAGAGACCCCCAGAGCCCTCCCCCGAGCCTTGAGGTGGACCTGCTCCTTGTCCTGAAGCGCTGGGGAGCACCGGGAGATGAGACTCTGATCCAAGGCATGAGCCAGCTCATGGTCTTGTGGCTCGCAGCAGTACCTTAGGGCTTAGGGTTTAGGAAGTAAGGGTATAGCACGCAGAATAGATCTTAACCGTAGAACTCATAATCATCATAACCTGAATCAGAATCTTATTGCTGACATTTAGGCTTTGGGGTCGGGTCTTAGGGTTTAGCGTTTAGGGTTTAGAGTTTACAGGTCATGTTTCCAGCTCATAGGGCTCAGGGTGTAGGGTTTTTCGGGGCTGCCCCATGGCAGAATAGGGGTCCAGACTTCAGGGGTTTGGGTTTAGGGTTTAGGGTTTAGGGTTTAGGGGACTTCAGGGGTTTGGGTTTAGGGTTTGGGTTTCTTGAGAGGCTTGGGAGGTAGATGGGAAGCAATGGGGATGGTCACACCAAGCAAACCAAAGATAATGCTCCATGGGCTTTACGGCCTCAATCCTAAACCCCATTGACACTAAAACCCTTAACTTTAAACCCTTTTTGCAACAAACCTTAAACCCGAAATCCTAAACTCTATAATCCCATACATCCTAAAAACCATACACGCTAAAACCCTCCGAAGGTGCATCGGGAGCTCGGCAATGTTGCTCATGGAGTTCTCCTTACTTCCCCAACAAGCCAGGGAAGTAAAGGGTTAAACTTTCAGACTACTGCTAAATTATAAGAACCCAAAA